GGTGTGGCCCACAAACCAAACCAAGTAAAAAAAAATTTAAAAGGGGGGTCCAGGAACGTGCCTCTGCAAAACAGAACCATCCCTCTATGTGTGAAACTTTGATTCCCAGCACCACCCCACATCATGTGATCCCCCGCACACTGCAACCAAATATATGTCTCCTAGTGAGCACTACAACCAAGTGTGTATGGGTCCCAGACATCCCAACAATGACAATAAAGGGGAAGGGAAGCGGGAAAAGACTGTAGCACATTTGAAGACTGTAGCACTGTCCTCCCATTGTTCATCAATTTGCTTGAGTGGGCACCAGTAACGTCTCCATTGTGAGACTTGTTATTGTTTTTGGCATATCAGATACACCACGGGGAGCTTTCCAGGCTCTGTCGTGTGAGTGGGATACTCTCGGTAGCATGCTGGGCTCTCCGAGAGGGGCGGAGGAGTTGAACCTGGGTCGGCCACGTGCAAAGCAAATAAATGCCCTACCCACTGTGCTATAGCTCCAGACCACCATGAATAATTAACAAAATCAAATGTAATATGTTTTTCTTTTCAAAAATGAAGCAAATTTCTACTTCTAAAATGAACATTATTTATTTTGAGTTAATCATCCACTGAAAATAGCTATAAATATTCTTATCAAGTTATGGGCTGGAGCGATAGCACAGCGGTAGGGCGTTTGCCTTGCATGCAGCCAACATGGCCGACCCGAGTTCGATTCCTCCACCCTTCTTGGAGAGGAGAGTATCTCGTCCACACTGCAGAGCCTGGCAAGCCACCCGTGATGTATTCGATATGCCAAACACAGTAACAACACAATCTCCAATGGAGACGTTACTGGGCCTGCTCGAGCAAATCGACGAACAACGGGAGGGCCTTTACCTTTTAGCTTTATCAAGTTATAAAACTGTTCATTTGAAGTAATCAGAGAGATAAGGAGGAACTGGGAGGACACGAGCCTGAAAGAGGGTCCAGGAGACAATGCAGAATTTAGGGTGCATGGATGTGCTTCAGCTGAGTTCTTTTCCAGCACCACATGGCCTCCGTGCATCCCTGAGTATGCACAAGAGCACCACCAGGTAACCCCTTATGGTTCCTGGTACTGCAAAGCCCAAGCAACTTCATATGCTCACAGGCTTGATTTCTTAGGTATCATCAGGAGGTGCCCAGGATCTCCTTGAGTACCACCTGGGAGGTATACCCTGAAAAAAATCTGAGAGAATAAAAGCCAAGAGAAGTGTAACTCCAAGCAGTTGCTGAAAGGTCTAATTGGTGTTTCTCAAAATGAACAATAGATATGATCCTCAGTCTTACTTGGAAGGGAGGGGGCACTTTCTATTTGCTCATTTAAAGAAAGTACATTCCTAGAGGACACTGTGTCTTTTTTTTTTTTTCTGGAAAAAAAATGGGGACAATGAACCAAATAAGTTTTAGGGACTCTATAAAAAAATCAGTGTTTGTCAACTGGGACCTCATTGTTGGTTGGTAAGATTGCTCAATTGCCTATGGAAAATAGTATGGAGTTGTCTCATACAAACACTTCAACACTTCTACCGTGTGATCTAACAATTCCATATATATATGGAATATATATATATGAGAGAGAGAGAGAGAGAGAGAGAGAGAGAGAGAGAGAGAGAGAGACTATAAGGTAGATAATACAGTGATGTCTTTCTTTGGTCCAGGGCAGGACGACAAACAATTTTTGAGATAAATGGCACACTATGTGAAGACATATCTAAATGGGATAGAAGAAAAAAGTCAGGAGTTTATGTTTAATGGGAGAGGTGAGGAGAAACAGGGACAATTACCTTGAAGCATTTACAACATCAGGATTAAGGGGTGCAGTGTCGCTAGCAGGGCAATCCTTACCCGTGGGGAGAGTACGTCAACAGCCTTTTGATACCTTTTGGCTTCCTGATACCCCCAAATTGCCGCTGTGCCTCTGGCCAGAATCCCAACAACTCGGGACTAAGTTTCCAGAGAAACTAAATGACCAAAAGTTAGGTATGTGAGAGTCACGACCACAAACCATTTCCGGTTCAGCTATACAAGGTCATTTATCAGCCTTGCTTCAGAGACCCATAAATAAATCTCAAAAGAGATTAAAAACAAAACAAAGCAAAACAGTTAATCTCAGATCCGTGCAAAGCTAACAGACCTGGGTAAATGGGGTGATGGATTGGGGGGATCAGCCTGATGCCCGCACAAGCAGAGCTCCCAGCAGCTGCTTATTTCCATAATCCAAAATCACCGCCTTGTCCTGGGCTGGACTCCACTATCTCAGGATGGACCTCACAAAGATAATCTGCTGAAAATTCAGGTATGTGCATTTTGTGACTGAAATCTCCAGGCTTTCTCAGTCAGGATGGGCTACATTCTCCCACCTCCCTGTACTTCCATAAGTCACATCCATACCCCAAAGTTCCTTTAACCAAGTTAAAATAGCTACTCCAGCCTTACCTTCCTGATAAAAATACTGAACACCCTGAACAAACATGATGACTTCTTGGTACCTGTATTGAAAACCATAATGCTCAAAAGGAGAGAAAGAAAAAAAGTGCCTGCCATATTAATGGCAGGCTGGGGAGAGTTGGGGGTTGCTGGGAGGGAGACAGGGGACACTGATGGTCAGAAATGTACGCTGGTGGAGGATGGGTATTGGGATCATTGGATGATTGAAACCTGATCATGAACAGCTTTGTAATGATCTATTTCAAGGATATTGAATTAAAAAAAAAGTTAAAAGGTTAAAAAAATCTGGGCTGGAGCGATAGTACAGTGGGTAGGGCGTTTGCCTTGCACATGGCTGCTCTGGGTTCGATTCCCAGCATCCCATATGGTCCCCCGAGCACTGCCAGGAGTGATTCCTGAGTGCAGAGCTATGAATAACCCCTGTGCATCGCAGGGTGTGACCCCCCCCAAAAAAAAGTTAAATAAAATCTGTGAGGATTAGACGAAAAAGAAAATAATTATCAAGACTGTTTTTTTTTTTTTTTTTTTTTTTTTTTGCATTTTGAGTAACTCCTGGCTCATGCACTCAGGAATCACTCCTGGCGGTGCTCGGGGGACCATATAGGATGCTGGGAATCGAACCTGTGTTGGCCATGTTGGCTGCATGCAAGGCAAACGCCCTACCCGCTGTGCTATCGCTCCAGCCCCAATTATCAAGACTGTAAACCATTACTTTGCAATGACTACAATAGTTCTGAAATGTTCCTGAGCAGCAATTAGCAACACAGGAGAGTAAAGAATATGTACCTTCTGATTTAGCCAGGATTAGGATTAGGATTAGGCCTAAGGATAGGAGGAATATGACTTGAGATCAAGTTCTTAAAAGGCTCCTTTTGCCTTGTTTATGTGAAGCCCCAGTTCAATCCCTGGCTCCATAAAACAGAAACAACAATCAAGCAGCTTCCTGAAATGAATGATTGTAGGGCATAGATTAGAATATTGGGGCTGGGAGAGAGAGAACAGCTGGTGGGATGCTTGCCTTGCATGCAGATGACCCATGACCCAGATTTGATCATTGCCATCCCAGAAGGGCCCCCAATCACTGCCAGGAGTGATTTCTGAGTGCTGAGCCAGGAATAACCCCTGACCATCACAGGGTGTGATTCCTCACCGCCCCAAAATTCAAGTCAGGAAGCTGACAAAGCAGAACTGATAATTAAAAATCTTGTTGAGGTCAGAAATTGGTTTGTGACAACAAAACTTGTCACTGTCACTGTCCTCCCCGTTGTTCATCGATTTGTTTGAGTGGGCCCAGTAGTCTCCATTGTGACACTTGTTACTGTGTTTGGCATATCGAATACGTCATGGGTAGCTACAAAACTAGGACTAATTAATTTTTCATTTTGATAAAGATTTCAGTGGAATAAAGGGAGGACCGAGTCACACCTGGAAGTATGCCATACATGATGTTGGTGATTTGAACCAGTTTGCATGCAAGACAAGTGCCTTACCTCCTGCACGATTTCTCTGATCCCCAATATATCTTTTTAATCCTGAGACCAGATAATGTGAAAATAAATGCTTTAGAATTATACTTTTGTTTTTGGGCAACACTTAGCAGTGTTCAGGGCTTACTCCTGGTTCTGTGCTCAGGGATCACTCTTGGCAGGTTTGAGGGACCATATGGGGCACCAAGGATCAAACCTGTGCAAGGTTAATGCCCAATCTATTGCAGTACTTCTTCTCTGTACCCAGGGCCTCACACATGCAAGTGCTCTACCACTAAGCTAGAGATCACTGGTACAAAATGAGGTAATTTTGGGGAGGTGGGGGGCTCTCTAGCAATGTTGGGAGCCACCAGAGCTATATTTGGAGGTGCATGGAAGGCATTCTGTACCAGCAACTCAACCTGGGGGCAGGAAATAAAAAAGCCTTTGTTTTTGATTTTGGCTCACACCTGGTGATGTTCAGGTGTTATTCTTGGCTCTGCACTAAAGAACTACTCCTAGTGATGTTCGGGGGCTGGGAGTGAACCCAGGTCAGCTGCATCAAGGCCAAGGGTCCAAACTGTTGCACTATCTCTCTGGCCACTGAACCTGCCCTTTGAGCTATCTCCCTATTCTAAAGATACTCCTTTATACAGGGAGCGAGGGGGAAACACTTAAATCTATGTGGATCAACTATTTTACTGATTTAAACTACTCACACTTTCTTCTGTTTAGTTCAAAGAAAAAAATTAATAAATAAAATACAAAATGACTCAGCCATAAAAGTTCCCAATATTAAGCATGTATGTCACTAGCAGAAAATAAAAATGACAAAAGAACCATGAATAGCATTAGGTCAAAATTTGATTAGATAAGGAATGATCTACTTACGCATTTTTTTATAAAGGTAAATAATTTGCCTATATAGTTTGCATTATGTACTTTTGAATATTTGTGAAACATTTTTTTGTTATGATCAGAAACAAAAAGTCCAAATTTCCAGTGTAACACTCATAATTTTAAAGTTTAATAAATTGAAATCGGAGATCCAAATTTTTTAAACATTATCATCCAACTTCTCAAGATTTCAGTGGAGTGCTTAGATGAAAACTTATCAAAGTATTACATCTGAATAATTACATTATAAAGTCAATCAACCAAGATGTACTTTTGAGAAATACACTTGTCAGAAATATAAATTTTTAAGTTGCTTAAACTTCTAATATAGGAATCAGGGTCATATATTTTCCCCTATCTTTTGGGTAAGACAGTTCTAAGGGGCTTAGGGCTGAAGATTACATGAATTAGTCAGGGTTAAGGCATTTCATAACTTGTGCCTGAAATTGTAGCTTTGGCTAAACCCGGCAATGCACAGGGGTTACTCCTGGCTCTGCACAAAGGAATTACCCCTGGTGGTGCTCAGGGGACCATATGGGATGCTGGGAATTGAACCCGGGTGGGCCACATGCAAGGCAACTGCGCTACCTACTGAGCTATCACTCCAGCCCCATTGCTTTTCTTTCTATTAACCGGATATTAAAGATGCCTATTCTTTCCCTTTCCGTTGTCACCAATTATTGTGGAGTGGATGAGGGTTGTGAAGATTTGTGATGTGGGCAGGAAGGGTCTACCTAAAATCTTACAGCTTTGGTATCTGAAGTAAGCAACAGCTTACTACTACTACTGAAACTATAAAAGAATCGAAAAGTGCCATCCTCTGATACTTTATAGCTTCCCCCCTCCCCCCCATGGAAATATATTGCTCTAACCAGAGCTCTATTGACCAGTTTTGGGAATAATAATTTTAAGAAAAAAAAAAAAAAGCATTTCAGTTTGCATGTAAAGTTTTCTCTTCCCTTCGGTTTTGGGTCACACCTGGTGATGCTCAAGGGTGATTCCTAGCTCTGTAGTCAGGAATTACTCCTGGCAGTGTTCCCTAGAGATGATATGAGTCAGGTGTGTGAAAGGCAAGTGCCTTACCCACTGTATTATCTCTTTTTGCCTGTAAATTTTATAGCCACTCTTTCAAGAAAAGAATTTGCTTTGTTGGGAAGGACAAAAAGGGGAAAAGGCCCACAGTGTTTACTGCTTATCACCATCAGCTTTTTGATTGACTATTTAAGGGCGAAAGTTTCAAAGGAGTGAGTAGACCGAGATGTTTTAAATAGCAACTTTAGGAAGAAAGAGGATGTCCTGTGGTCTTTGGGTCAGGGAACTGTGGAAACTGGTTCCAAGTAGTCACTGGCTTGGAACCGGGGTAAATGAACTGAAAACTGGATGTTATCTGTATAAAAATTCCTGGAAGTCTTTATTGACAGAATCAATAGACCAGTTTGTGGCAGAGTTGGCTGGACAACCCCATCAAAGCACACTAGAAAACTGAAATTAGATCTATTTAAGTGTGGTTTCTTTTGATTCTTTCAACTTTTTTACATGATTATTTGTATAGTAGGATTCTAAATTGAAACCATCTCACTCACATTGTCCTTATTCATTCTGATCCTGGAGATCAAAACCTTAAAAAATTTTCAAAGATGATTAAAACAAAAAACCCAACTAATTTAAGCTATCAAGCCTAAACGAGAACTGCTTACTCTTCCTCTTCTTTGAACATTTTACTTAAGTGGCTTACTAGAGCTACGAGCTCAGGGTTTCCACCACATGCATCTATTTGTTTATAGGCTTTAGATTCAAGTTCTTTAAGAGTATTCCGAGTATATTCAAAAGAACCTACATCCTTGAGATAATGTACACAGTATTTTTTAATATCTATGTTTTCAGTTCTCTGGCGCAAAATATTCTGCACCTGGGTGCTTTCAGGTCTTGACCAAATAGCATGAATAGTAGGGAATGAGAATTTTCCCTCTGTTAGATCTTCACAAAAGCTTTTGTTTTCACTATATTCTTTGGAGTGTAGATTAGCATAATCATCCCTAATTTGGAAAAAGAGGCCAAGTGTATCGAGTAGAGGCTTTAAATCTTCTTTGTACTCAGAGAACAACTGCATGAGACCTACTGCTAATCCAAATAGTCCACCTGTCTTTTGTAGCACCATAGTTTTATATTCTTCTTCAGTAGGACAAATGTAATTATCCCTCCAATAAATATCTAGGCCTTGTCCCTTATGAAGTTCCAAAAGTTGACGTGTAAAAATTTTGACTGCATGTGGATGATCAAGCGTTAAGACTTTCTCCAGGCCAAGAAAGTACACATAATTTGCAGAATTGATGACAGAAGGAATTCCATAGATGCTATGTGCCACTGGAAAGCCACGCCGAAGTTTTGAGTTGTCTTCAATATCATCAATAAGTAAACTGGCGTTATGCAACATTTCCGTCACTTCAATGATAATCTAACAAAAGAGACAGTTAAAAATTTTATTTGAGTGATTAAAAAATCTTATAAATACATAATAAGTAGCTTATGAGAATTTTCTTTTTTGGGGGGGAGGGTTTGTGGATGAGGGTGGGGGGAAGAGAACCCAGTGGTATTCAGGAGGTCCATAAGTGGTGCCAGAGATTTGGATGTGAGTTTTGGCTGTCAAAGCCAAATAGAAGTCAAGTGTCTTAATCCTATATTATCTCTCTGGCCCAAGAGTCTTGGTTTTCGTTTTCATAATTATTTAGCAACTTCAATATAAAAAATACATGAACATTAAACTAGATTAAGAGCTAAGAATGTTTTCACATGACATTTATTAAATTCTCTAACCAATTCTGACATGTTAGAATTGCCTAATTACCTGTAGTTTGTCTTCAGGAACCTTTAGCCAATGATTAAATGCCTGTGAAAGTTTGGTTCTCACTTGTTTACCTGAAATTAAAGAATGAAAAATGGATAATAAAATTAAAATTTGAATTAAAAAGCATTTAGGAACTTTCTCTAATACTTATCGAACTTATTAATTCTAGTCCTATTGATCCCATGCAGAGCTTACTTTCTACTGCTGGAATCCTGTGTCAAAATTCGCATATGAAGTATACACTCAATCTTTTAAAATTTGGGAAGCAAAGATTCTGAAACAGGTCAGTACAAGCATCTTACCCATTGTATTATTTCTCTGACCTCAGGCTTTCACTTTTCATGTAAGTTTTATCAACAAAGTGAAAAGGAATTTAGTCTAGTTAAAGGAATTAACACTATTTCAGAGAAATATAGGTCGTTTTAACAAAACATACCTTGTTATCAAATTCTCTCAAAAAATGATCTCTTAAAATTACTGATTATTGAATTAGGGTTTCAGGGACTTGAATAGCTCTAATTCCTTGCTATCAAAAACATTACTGGGACCGAAGAGTGCTTGCCTTACAACTGACTGACCTAGGTGTGATCCCTGCATTTCATTTGGTCTCTCAAGTTCACTAGGAGTAAGCCACATGGGATGCTTGGGATTGAACCTGGGCTAGGTGTGTGCAAGGTAAATACCTTATCTGCAGTACTATATCTCCAGTACCCCCATTTTTAATATTAAGTAAGATTTTCCGAAGTCCACAGTTTAATCTATGAACATCTATTCTAGTATAGTTCTCTCAAATGCACTTGCTCAGTGTGCTCAGGGCTTATTACTGGGCTCTGCTCCAGGGACCTTTCTGGCTGGGATGGAAGTAGGGGCACATACAGGTTGCTGGGGATCAAATCTGGTTCAGCTGCATATAAGGCAAGCACCTTTACCCACTGTACTACCTCTCTGGCCCTATGACTTGGTTATTATTTATTTATTTATTTTTGCCTTTTTGGGTCACACCTGGCGATGCACAGGGGTTACTCCTGGCTCTGCACGCAGAAATCACTCCTGGCGGTGCTCAGGGGACCATATGGGATGCTGGGAATCGAACCTGGGTCGGCTGCGTGCAAGGCAAATGCCCTACCCGCTGTGCTATCTCTCCAGCCCCAACTTGGTTATTTTTAACCTACGTAGTATCTAACTGCACTTAGTGACAGAGATTCCCTCACAATTAAAATGAACAACAAACATTACAAATTCCCTTGCTACTTTTCCTCTTTCTTCCTCCACTCTCAAACCCATTTACCATCTCTTGTTGCAAAGGTATGGACACCAATACCAGGGCAAATAAACAACCAACAAAAAAATCATTCAACTTCACCAACTTCATAAAATCTTTTTAACTTCATAAAATCTTAACAGCAATTGTTATTATTTTTAACTGATTTTAAAAGTTGAATCACCATGCATTACAAAGATATTTATGATTTGTTTCAGGCATATATTGTTTCAATCCATTCACCAGTGCTCACTACTCTCCACCAATGCCTCCAGTTTCACTTCTGCCACCCAACCTGCCTGTGGCAGGAACTTCTCCCCCCTTGTCCTAATGTTTCCTTCCCTAACTTATCTCCCCCACTCCTTCCCCAGTGCCAAGCTTCCTACTGAAGACGAATTCTCCTGCTCTTCATTTCTATTGCCCTTGGGCATTTGATATTCCCCTATGAGGTTTCTTTATATCCCATATATGAGAGAGATCATTCTGAGTCTGTTCCTCTCCCTCTGGCATGATACTCTTCAGATCCATCCACATGGCAGCAAATTGCATGATTTTATCATTTAAGGCTGAGTAGTACTCCATTATGCATATGTACCTATTTCTTTATCCAGTTATTAGTTCATAAGCATTTGGGTTGTTTCCATATTTCAGCTCTTGTGAGTAGTGCTTCACTGAACATAGGAGTGAAGATATCTTTTCTACTTTGCATATTTGGACCCTTGGGGTATAGTCCAGGAGTGGAATGCTGGGTCAGATGGAAGTTCAATTCCTAGTTTGTTGAGGAATGTCCACACTGTCTTGCAAAAATCTAAACCAGTTCAAAGTCCTAACAACAGTGAATGAGGGTCCCTTTTCCCTCACATTCTCACTAACACTGGTTGTTGTTTTTTTTGATGAGTGCCAGTCTCTGTGGTGTGAGGTGGTGTTTTATTGTTGTTTTCATTTGCATTTCCCTGATGAGAACTGATATAGAGCATTTTATCATATGCTTTTTGGCATTTTGAAAGTGATTATTATTATTTAGCTTTTAATTATTTATTTAAATATAACTGAATCACCGTGAGATAGTCACAAGCTTTCATGTTTGGGTTATAATCAGACAATGATCAAACACCCATCCCTCCACCACCAACTTACCAGTAGCACTGCACTGTAGCACTATCCTTCTGTTGTTCATTGATTTGCTCAAGCGGGAATCAGCAATGTTTCCATTCTGAGACTTGTTATTACTGTTTCTGGCATACTGAATATGCCACGGAGAGCTTGCCAGGCTCTGTCTTGTGGGCGGGATACTCTTAGTAGCTTGCTGGGCGCTCAGAGAGGGACGGAGGAATCGAACCTGGGTTGGCCGCGTGCAAGGCAAACACCCTGCCTGCTGTGCTGTCACTCCAGCCCAACTTATCAGTAAGAATAATAATTTTAGGGGCTGGAACAATAGTACAGCGAGTAGGGCATTTGCCTTGCACGCAGCAGACCCGGGTTCGATTCCCAGCATCCCATATGGTCCCCTAAGCACCACCAGGAGCAATTCCTGAGTGCATGAGCCAGGAGTAACCCCTGTGGAACGCTGGGTGTGACCCAAAAAGCAAAAAAAAAAAAAAAAAAAAAAGATTTTTTTTTTTTATGTAGGAGTATTGCTATTTATCCAGCCACTGATTAACTGATTGAATTGTGCATGAACTCCACATGAATGATAATTTTGTAGTAGTATAAATAAGTTGTCTGGCCCACCTTTAAGTTACTTCAATAACCCTGAATCTCTCTATGAAAATAGGTTATTTATTCCCTTTGTCTTTGTTGTTGGTTTAATGTTTGTGAAGGGTTACATACTTGATTGTGATGCTCAAACACCTTGTGGTAGAAACATCTTTTGCAGTTATGTTCTATCACATATACAAATATAATTTTAAAGAGGGTCTAAATAATTAATTCTGAGTATGCTATCTAATGGCTTAAAATATTACATCCAGGGCCTGGAGAAACAGTGTAGTGGTTTAGAGTACCTGCCTTGCAAGCATATGACCAGGTGTTTAAATCACCAGCGTCCCACATGTACTGAAAATAATTCTGGTAGCAGAACGGTTTGAGCCTGGCAGCTATGCTGTCTGTGATGCCCAGCACTTCAAGCCACACTATACTCAGGTGTTTGTGAGTAGCACACAAAGGAGGGCAGCTCCCAGTGAGTACCTAAAATGTGCAAATGCCACCATCAGGAAGTGCATTTAGTGGAGTGATGCCTGGCAAGCACAAGTGTAATTTGTGTGCCTCAACTCAGAGCATAACTCTAACTCTGGGGACTGAAGCGGTAGTACAGGGGTTAAGGCACTTGACTCGCATCAATCCCCGGCACCTACCAGTGAGCACTTCCAGAGGTCACTTGAAACAGTCAGCAAGGAACAGCCCTGGCCACCACCAGCTGTGGCCCAAACCACCTCCCTGTCCCCCAGAAAAAGAGTTCAACCCTGGTGAGCACATATCTAAGTGCCACCCCAAGGGAGCATCACAGCTACAAATGTGTGAGCACTATAGTTGGATGTATACAATCCCAGTTAGTGCTACAACATTGCAGTGATAATAAAGTGAGGTGGGAGAGATTTTCAAAAAAGCAGGGAGGTGGGTGGAGTTATAGTACAGTGGGGAGGGTGTTTGCCTTGCACGAAGTTGACCTGGGTTTGATCCCTGGCATCCCATATGGTCCCCCTAGAAATGCCAGGAGTAATTCCTGAGTGCAGAGCCAGGAGTAAGCCCTGAGCATCTGAGCATCCATGGGTGTGAGCCAAAAAGTGGGGGGGGGGGGGGGGGGGGGGGGCAGGGGATCAGAGAGATTTTTAAAAAGCAAGGGATGGAGGAATGGAGTGCATGTTTTGCATGTGGGAGGTCAGGGTTTGTTCCCTGGCATGATATGGTCCCTGAGTACCAATAACCCTTACATACAAAGAAGGGAGTAGCCTTCAAGCACTGCTGGTATGGAGCAAAGATAAAAAGATTTAAACTGCTTTAAAAGATGTTCGAATATAAAGAAGAAAAACAATTACTTCCAGATAATAAGAGTTTATTTAAAAAAAAACTTACAATAGGAATATCCCTTTACCTTCCCTTTACCAGCGGTAGGGCGTTCGCCTTCCAAGCGGCCAACATGGCCGACCCGAGTTCGATTCCTCCGCCCCTCTCGGAGAGCCCGGCAAGCTACCGAGAGTATTCGATATGCCAGACACAGTAACAACAAAGTCTCCAATGGAGACGTTACTGGGCCCGCTCGAGCAAATCGACGATCAACGGGAGGGCCTTTACCTTTACCTTTACCTATGTCTAACACTCAGATCTTGTCCAGCGTGATCATTCCCAGCTGTTAAGGGATATTCTTGATAACCTTTCAGGATCAATATTGAAAACCACAATGCCCAAAAAGGAGCGGAGAAGGAGGGGGGGAGAGGGGTGAGGGAGGGGGAAGAGGGGGAGAGAAAGAGAGAGAGAGAGAGAGAGAGAGAGAGAGAGAGAGAGAGACAGAGAGAGACAGAGACAGAGAGGGAGGGCGGGAAGGAGGAACGGGAAAAGCGCCTGCCATAAAGGCAGGCTGGGGTGTGTGGGAGGTGATGGGAGGGAACCGGGGGATACCAGTGCTGGGAAATGTACAATGGTGGAGGGATGGGTGCTAGAATACTGTATGACTGAAGTCTAGTCATGAACAGCTTTGTAAGGGTCTATCTCACAGTGATTCAATAAAAAAGTAAAAAAAAAAAAAGTTATAACAGTTCATTACATAGGTAAGTTCCCCCCACCCCCTTTTTGGATCATACCAGCGATGCTCAGGGGTTATTCCTGACTCTGCACTCAGGAATTGCTCCTGGCAGTGCTTTGGGACCATATGGGATGCTGGGGATAGAACCTGGGTCAGTTCCGTGCAAGGCAAATGTCCTACCTACTGTACTACTGCTCTGGCTCCTACATAGGTTAAGTTTTATGGTTAAAATGTAACTTCAAGGGTTGGAGAGATAGTATAGAGGATAAGGTGCTTGCCTTATATGTGGTTGATATGGAATTGAGCTTCCATATCCCATAAGGTCCCCTGAGCCTCACCAAGAGTGGTCCCTGAGTGCAGCCAGGAGGAAGGCTTGGGCACTGCTGGGTGTGCCCTCCTCACCCCTAGCAGTTGTTTTTTGTACAATAATAGGTTGTTACTATTGTTAGCAAGTAAATAGTAACGTTTTATGATAGCCCAGTTTTAGACAGTCTTTGTTAATTTGTTACAAAAGAAGTCTAGTAATAGATGGGCAGAGTCCAGGAAAAGTAGAACCTTATTTCTCAATGGGATTTCCTAAAATAAGAGTTAGTTACTAGTTGATAAATAAACTTAGCTCAAAAGCAGTGTTGTCTTATTAAAAAACAGAGTAACTTTCCCTTTTCATTTTCCATTTCTATTTTCCCTCTAATCTTCTGAAGCAGTGATATTAATAGGTTTATCTTCCTTATGGTCTGCTAGAGGGCTGGAGCGATAGCACAGCGGTAGGGCGTTTGCCTTGCACGCAGCCAACACGGCCGACCGGAGTTCGATTCCTCCGCCCCTCTCGGAGAGCCCGGCAAGCTACAGAGAGTATCTCGCCTTCAAGGCAGAGCCTGACAAGCTACCCATGAACTGACTTATTCGATATGCCAAACACAGTAACAACAAAGTTTCCAATGGAGACGTAAACACAGTAACAACAAAGTCTCCAATGGAGACATTACTGGGCCCCGAGAAAATCCATGAACAACGGGAGGACAGTGACAGTGAAATAGTCTGCTAGAATAGACATGAGTCTGATCATGTCATGATGGTTTCCAATGTACAGCTAGGAAGCTACTACTTTGTCTGTTTTTGCAGAATAAACCCAAAGTTTCCTATATGGAAGCAGTCTACCACTGAGTACATTCACAATCTAGAGCTATCACTCTATGAATCTTATTAACAATTTATTCTTCCAAGCCTCATGAAGAACAGAAATGCAACGATATTATAGAGATGCATGCTTTCCAAGTCAGAGTCCTGAGTATGATACTACGATATAGTCCTATGAACATGACTAGGAGTGGTCATACCCCCAAGCCCTCAAATACTGAATAAACTGTTCATTTAATATGTGTGCTCATAAAATAAAAATGTACACTTTAAAACAGAAAAAAAGTGCTTATTGTGAATGTGTTGGGCTGGAGCGATAGCATAGCGGGTAGGGCATTTGCCTTGCGCTCAGCCACTATGGCCGACCCGAGTTCGATTCCTCTGCCCCTCTCGGAGAGCCCGGCAAGCTACCGAGAGTATCTCGCCCGCATGGCAAAGCCTGGCAAGCTCCCTGTGACATATTCAATATACCAAACACAGTAACAACCAAGTCTCACAATGGAGACGTTACTGGGCCCGCTCGAGAAAATCGATGAACAACGGGAGGACAGTGACAGACTGTGAATGTGCTGAGAGTATCATTAGACTATAGCACATTATGGGGCTAAATAGGCTTCTATGATTTACTTATGAGCACCTTTTACACTTTCATAAAAAAAAAATTTCAAGTTCCAAGTAACCAATTTGTCATTTTGTTTTGTTTGGGGGGTCACAGAAAGGATTACTCTTGATTTTGTGCTCAGGGGTTACTCACAGATTATTTGGAGGATCATATAGTACCAGGAATTAAATCCTTCTGCATGCAAAGCATGCTCTCAAGCCTACTGAGTTCTCTCTCTGATCCCAAGTAACTTTGATTAATAGTTGAACTTTTGTACCAAAAACCACACATAAGGCCAGAGAGAGAGCTCAAAGGGTCAAGTATGTGCTTTATAAGCAGTAAGCACGGGTCTGATACCCAGTAATGCATGTCCTTTGAACACTGCTGGGAGATTCCTGAATACCAAACTGGGATGAGCCCCTGAACACTGGCTAAATACCCAAAAACTAAAAGAAAAAATTTAAAACAATTAGGCTGGAGCAGTAGTGCAACAGGTAGGGCAGTTGCCTTGTACACAGCAGGGTTCAAATCCTAGTATCCAATATGGTCTCTGAGCTTCACCAGAAATGATGCCTGAGGACAGAGCCAGGAATAAGCCCTGAGCACTGCCCAAAATCTAAAACAGTAACAAACCCCCCAATGTCTACACTTAAATTAGAGCTTCAAGCTTCACATATATGAGGCCCTGAGTTTTCATTCCTCAGTATCAATACCAAAACCAAGGCAACAGTATAAAGCTATGCAATGTAAAGCAACAGTGGAATATGAATGAACATGGAAGATAAAATTTGAATTTGAAAAGGAATCTTTTGGGGCCAGAGCGACAGCACAATGGGGAGAAAATTTGCCTTGCATGTGGCCGATCTGGATTCAATCCCCAGCATCCCATATGGTCCTCCAAGCATAGCCAGCCTGAGTGAAAAGCCAGGAGTAACCCCTAAGCATTGCTGGGTGTGTGAAAAAAAGAAACAAAGAAAAGGAATCTTCTGTTCTACAAATTGGTGTAACTTATCCTTATAGCTGAACAGTAAGGAATAGGAATATGCAGCATTCATAAAGAATAAAACCTTGGGTAAGGGAAATAGTACAAGAGTGAAGGCTCTTGCCTTACATGCAGCAGACCCCAGTTCAAATCCCTGACCTCCAAGCATTGCCAAAGTCACTCCTGAGTACAGAGCCAGGAATAGACCCTGAGCACTTCCATGTGTGGCCCACACTGCCCTTCCTGTCCCTGAAAGAACAAAATGCACATTTTTGTATTTTTGGTTTTTAAGATGTGATAATTAAATTTGTGTGTGTGTGTGTGTGTGTGTGTGTGTGTGTGTGTTTGACTATGCCAAGCAGTGCTCAGAGCTCATTCCTGGTGAAGCTTAAGAGACCATACTGCATACTGGGGTTCAAACCTAGGCTGCATGCAAGGAAACTGCCCTATCTGCTGCACTGCTGCTCCAGCCTGATTGTTCAGTTTTTTTTCTTTTAGTTTTTGGGTCACACCTGGTGATGCTCAGGGGTTACTCCTGGCTCTGTGCTCAGGAATTACTCCTGGCAGTGCTTGGGGGACAATATGGGATACCAGGGATTGAACCTGGACTGGACGAGTGCGAGGCAAGCACCCTATCTGCTTTATTATATCTCCTGCTCAGATTACTGAATTTTTATCTAAAACATACTCCCCCCCCCTTTTTAACTTAAAAAAAAAATCAATCTACTATTCTCTGAGCTTGTGCAATAGCACAGTGGGTAGGGCGTTTAACTTGCATGCGACCCACCTTGGTTCGATTCCTCCACCCTTCTCGGAGAGCCCAGCAAACTACCAAGAGTGTCTCGCCCACACAGCAAAGCCTGGCAAGCTACCTGTGATGTATTCGATATGCCAAAAACAGTAACAAGTCTCACAATTTGTTGTGAGATGTTACTGGTGCCCGCTCAAGCAAATTGATGAACAACGGGAGGACAGTGCTACAGTAATACAGTGCTACTACTATTTATAACATTCATTGAAAATACACAGAGCTAGAAAATTTACCCTTTCTGCATAGTAATATTTGAATGACTAGTTATGGGTCAAAACCAAACTGTTACCTGGTAACTGAAGTAAGTATTTGTAGGGCTCTAGAAGAACTTTTTCGACTGTTTCTTGAGTCTTCTCCATTGTTTTTAAATTTCAAACCTGACCTGTTAAAAAGGAGAAACATAAAAATTGTGTTAACTATCTTCAGTGCCAAATGACTAATTTGAATCTCAAAGAAAAAAAAATTTTTTTTTTTTGGTGTGTGTTGGGGGGCATACCTGGCAATGATCCTAGTTTTACTCCTGGCTGTGCACTCAGGAATCACTCCTGGAAGGGCTCAGGGGGATCACATGGGATGCTGGGGATCAAACCAGGGTCAGCCACGTGCAAGGCAGGCCTTTCCTGCTGTACTACTGCTCCAGCCCAAACACTTATAAATCTTAAAAAATATTATGCTTTGTGAAAGAAGACATCACAAAAAGATCATGTATTTTATTTTAATGAAATATTCAGAATAGACAATCTATAGAGACAAACTAGATTAATGATTTTTTAAAGTTAGGATAAAGGGAAAAGGAGGATTATAAATGAGTATAGGGTTTATTTTTGGAGGATTCAAAATGTTCTAAAATTAGATTGTGATGAATATACTAAAATTCTGTGAATATAATAAAAATCACAAACTTGTAGACTTTCAATAGATGAATTATATGGCATACAAATTATCTTATGATAAAAAAAAGTAAAGATATGGGGCTGGAGTTATAGTACAGAGGGTAGGGCGTTTGCCTTGCACGGTGCTGACCCGGGTTCAATGCCCAGAATCCCTTATTGTCCACTGAGCACCGCCAGGAGTAATTCCCGAGTGCAGAGTTAGGAGTAAGCCCTGTGCATCGATGGGTGTGACCCAGAAAGAAAAAAAAATCTAAAGACATGTAAGTGATTACACTGGTCAAAGTATTCATCTGAATTTTTTTGTCAAGGAACCAACTGGTGTTGGGCATTAAATCTGGAGCTCCCACATGCAAAGTGTGTGCTCTAGTCCTCTGAGTCATCTCTGCCCTATTTTCACTTTTTTTGTTTGTTTTGTTTTGTTTTTGGGCCACACCCTGTGGTGCTCAGGGCTCTCGGTTTAGGATTACTCCTGGCAATACTAGGGGTAATACAAGGTGCTGGGGATCAAACCCGGATTGACCATAAGCAAGGTAAACACCCTACCCATAGTACAATCTCTCCAGTCTGTCACTTAAATGTTTGTTGTTTCTGGGTTACACCCAGCGGTAGTGGTATTTGGGGATACTCTCAGTTCTGTTCTCAGGGAACCCACAAAGTACCAGGGATTGAATCCAGGCCTCCTGCATGCAAAGCATGTGCTCAGTCCATTGAGTTATCTCTCCAGTCTTACCTGCTTGGATAGTTAGTGGTTACCTTAGTTATAAAACTTAAACTCTTTCTTAATCAACTCCAAAAGTTTTCAATTATTGACATCAAACATCAAAATAAATCCACATAATTATATATTTCTGTATTTGACTATTTACATAAATTACTAAGTAACTTTTCCCCCTGTGAGCATATTTTACATTATTTAAAATTTGCTCGAGCAAGCAAAGCAATTTAAGGCAGGCTCAGAGTGATATAGTACAGCAGGTAGGGTGCTTGCCTCACATGTGGCTGACCGTGGTTCAGCCCCTGGCACCATATAAGGTCCCCTGAGCACAGAGCCAGAGGTAAGTCCTGAGCACTGCTGGGTGTGACCCCCCAAAAAACCCAAACAAAACAAATGAAAATTTAAGGGTTTTCCCTTAAATTTTTAACTCCTTTTAAATTTTTAAGGAGTTTTTAACTCCTCTCATGTATTTTCTCTATAATCTCAGGGATTTTAATTTTAATTACCTAAATTATATATAATTATAATAAAACATATAAATATAAAATATAAAATATATAATTATATAATATAAATACTCCTATTGGGACTGGAGATAGAGTACCATAGGTCAGGAGCTTGCTGTGCATGCAGCTAACATGGGTCCAACCCATGAGCACAGAGACAAGAGTAAGCCCAGAGCTCACTCAGTATGGCCCTTTTTAGAGAAACAAAAAATTCCTTTATGGTGACAAAGCGGTTATTATTAATTTGTGAAGTAAAATATTTTTGAGATATTATCGATTCTTTTTTTATTGGGTAAAGGTAAAGGCCCTCCCGTTGATCATCGATTTGCTCTAGCGGGCCCAGTAATGTCTCCATTGGAGACTTTTGTTGTTACTGTGTTTGGCATATCGAATACTCTCGGTAGCTTGCGGGGGGGGGGGGGGGGGTGCTGGTTCACACTTGGCAGTGTTCAGGGGGACATGTGCAGTGCTAGAGATTTAACCCTGTTACTGTATCTCCCATCTCAGGGAGGACAGTAACTCTTTATTTTTAAATTTTTTGATTGTAGGGCTACACCCAGTGATGTTCAGGGATTACTTCTGGCTTGGCACTTAAGAATTACTCCTGGAGGTGCTTAGGGAAGCATATGAGATGCTGGAGACAGAATTCAGCTGACCCACATGCAAGGCAAACTCCCTACCTGCTGTATTATAGCTCTGACCCCAAGGAGGGTAGCAACTCTAAGGAAAATATGATTCTAGAGAGAGAGAGAGAGAGGGAGAGGGAGAGGAAAAAAAACTTATAAGGAGAATGTGGGGGGGAAAGGAGCATAGGAAAAACCAAGAGGACAGAGAGAGTTCGCCTTACAATCATCTGACCTGGTTTGGAACCCAGTTACCACAGTTGCCTAAGTACCCACAGCACAGAACCATCCAGGAGTAAGCCTTGAACATAGACAGGTGTGGTGCTCAAAATAAAAGAAAAAGGAAAAGAAATTCATATCCCACACAACCTACAGTACTACAGTGAGAACCCCAGAGTGAATGTTGTAAAATAATACAAATCTGGCTACTGAGAATACCTCGCCCGCACGGCAAAGCCTGGAAAGCTATCCATGACGTATTCGATATGCCAAAAAACAGTAGCAACAAGTCTCAAAATTTGTTGTGAGATGTTACTGGTGCCCGCTCGAGCAAACTGATGAACAACGGGAGGGCAGTGCTACAGTGCTTCTAGGGATTAGATTCTGTCTTTAGTTGAAAAAAAAAAAATCAAAGAAAAATGATGAAATAAAGGTTTTTTATTAAGGACGATACCCATTCTCAGATATAGGCAAGGGTTTAGAGAGAGTAAGGAAAGGGAGAGAGAAAAGGGAGGATGTGAGGGAGAGAAGGGGGGGTGTTACTGGCACTCTGAGATGCCAGTAACCCCAATACTGCAGGGCTGTAGTGACTGTTCTGAATTTTACATTTAATGTATTCTAGAATTTACCCATTTTCTTTCATGTTGAATCTGTTTGTTGTTTATATGGCCACACCAGGCAGTGCTCAGGCTTATTCCTGGCTCTGTGCTCAGGGATCACTTATGGTGGTGCTTGGGGAACCATATGAGGGTCCCAGGGATGGAACTTGGGTTAGCTGCATGGGAGGCCAAGTGCCTTACCTGCTGTACTACGGCTCTGCCCTTTACTGTTCCTTTGTAAATGTTTGTTTTGGGGTCATACCTGGAGGTTCTCAGGGCTTACTCCAGGATTCAAGCTCAAGTAATATTCCTGGTGGTGCTCTGGGATCATAAGCAATTCAAGGCAAGTGCTTTACCCTCATACTCTATCTCTACCTCTCCATTGCTATTTTCGTTTGTCCTATCAGTTACCCAAGTAGTTGCTCTGATATGCTTGAACAGTTTAGTTTTCTTACCATTGTGTCTTATTTTTGGTTTTTGGGTCATATCTGGCCGTGCTCAGTGGACCATGTGGCACAGGGAAATCAAAGCCTCACACACATAAGGGAAGTGCTACACTTTGATTTACCTCTTTGCTTCCTTTTGCTTCTTAGGATGATGACTCGAATGGTCTCTAGAATTCTTAGCATAAAGGACAGAAAAGTCTGTCTTTTTCTATTTTACTCTGGAGTGGCTAGGTGGTTTTTGGGGGTGTGTGTGACAGGAATCAAACCCTTGGCTTCACACATATAAAGCCCATGCATTACCATAGAGCTCAATCTCTGGCTTGTCTGACTGATCACCCTGACAAAAAAATCATCTTAGCAATATAAACTCAAAGAAAAAAATCTACATCAGCCTTGACTGAAAATAAATAGATCACAAGGGGAAACAATATGTGAAAAGACAATATGTGAAAATAATCTAGGGGCCCAAGAGATAATATAGTAGATACTTGTCCTCCATGTGGCCAACCCAGGTTGGATCTTGGGCACCACATATCATCCCCTAGAGCACCATCAGGAGCGATCCCTGAGTGCACAGCCAGGAGTAAGGGCTGAACACTGCACCCTCCCTCAAAAAAACCCCCAAAACCAAAGAAAACCCCAAAATGCCAATTTAGTAACCTATTACCTATACTATTTGAATTTTGACACTTTATTTCTTTATACTTTTTGGATCATACCGGAGGTGCTGGAGTCTAGTCCTGGGTGTTTGCTCAGGGATCATACCTGGTGTAGGGGTGACACCACCTATGATGCTGGGAACATTGCTTTCTTCCTGATCTGGGCCACAAGCTTAGCCCAAGGGCCAAGGAAAGGGGAGGTTGGGAGAGTGTGTGTGCGTGTATGCTTGAGTGCGTGTGTGTGACACATGGTGCTGGGAATGTAACCCACATCTACCTGCATCCTAAATAGCTGTACTGTCTTCTGGTCTCCTGTTACATCGCTTTTAAAAGCAATTATGTGAGGGGGGAAAAAAGGGAAATAATCCCTTACATAAAATATTTCTCAGGGGGCGAGAGAAGAGATGAGTACAGTGGGTAGGGTGTTTGTCTTGGACTCTGCAGATCCGAGTTTGATCATCAGGATCCCTAATGGCCTCCTAAGTACCTCCAGAAATAATTCCTAAGTGCAGAGCCAAGTCAGGAGTAACCCAAGTATCGCTGGGTGTATGTGACCCAAAAACAAAAACAAAACGAAACAAAAAGGGTCATTCATATCCTTCTTTAAACTTTATTTTTTTTCCATAAAAAATTGTATTTCACAAAAATCCCCACTTAATTTTTTCTTGGGAATTCTGGGAGATGTGGGTGGTGACAGGTTCAGTGCAAAGGTGGGGGGAGGGAGGGAAAAATGAAATGCTGCTAGGCTCCATGTGTGCATGTGTATACACATGGGGGGGGGGGTGGCAGGAAACACAGGATGCCAGAAATGCAACTCATGCCCAGCTTGCACCATCTCCCAGCCTTCTTTTACCTAACTTTGTCTTTTTCCTTTTTTGTTTCTGGGCCGCACCTGGCAGCACTCAGGTCTTACTCCTGGCAGCCTTGGAGGACCACATGGAGTGCTGGGGATTGAACCTGGATTGGCCATGTGTAAGGCAAATACCCAACCTCTGTAACTATCTCTTATCTCACTTCTAAAAGCAGTTAAAGGGAGAAAGATATAATGATTTCTTAGGTAAAAGGTTACTCAATAGAATCACAGGTAGAAACAAACATGTATCTCATATCCTCCTTTATTTAAACCGGCTCATAAATACAGCTCCTTCAAACAGCGAATGACTGCATTCAGGGATTAAAAAAAACAAAACCAACCCAAACAAGGAAACAATCACAGCATTTGATTAACACCCCAAAACCGTAGAAACAAGGGCCAGGAGGACTGGCCCATGGTGGGAGTACAGTTAGGACAGAGAAAGGACCACTATGACAATGATTGTTGGAAACTATCATTCTGGACAAGAATTGAGTGCTGAAAGGAGGTAAAATGATACCCTTTCAGTAACAGTATTGCGAATCACAGAGCCTAAAAGGAAATGAGAGTGCAATAGAGAAATGGAGAGAGAGGGAGAGAGGGAGGGAGGGAGGGAGGAAGGGAGGGAGAAGGGGGTGAGAGAGACCGAGAGGGAGAAAGAGCAAGAGAGAGCAGAGCACCAGCGACGTGTCTGCCTTAGAGGCAGGTTGGGAGTTCGGAGCCGAGGGGAGGAAATGTGCACTGCTGAAGGGCTGAGTGTTGGAACATTGTATGACCGAAACGCAATCACGAACAACTTTGTAACTGTATGCCTCAGGGTGTACTCAATTAAAAAAAAACACGAAAAAAATCGCTCAAATAGGTGAGAGCAAAAAAAAAAAAATCTTTTTCTTTTTCAGCTTTCATCAATCAATCAATGAGATCTGCGGAAGACCCCAGGCACGGGAAGAGGAGGAGGAGTCAGAAAACAAAACTCTATTCTATTGACAGTAGGCTTCCTAACAGGAAGTTCCTTCTGGAACGTTCTTTCGTTAAATGACTCCAGTTAAAACCGTAACCGTTTCAGCTCTCAAACTCGTTTGCGGGGCACCACCTCTCTCTCCCTCCCTGCCTCTGTCTCTTTCTGTGTCTTTCTGCCTCTCTCTCCTCTCTCTCTTGCGCACACGCACACACACACACACACACACACACACAAGCGCGCGCGTGTGCTTTCACGTTTTTCTCTCACTGGGTTTGAATTCACCCGGCAAGGGCATACCTTGTACCCGTTTTCCTACCAGGTCCGCGCTCTGTAAGTAACGGGAAAGAGCGAAAGAACAGACGCAAAGTGCCCCGCACCCGCAACGCCTTCGGGAACTGAACTCCGGGCAGACTTCCTTCCTCGCGGCTGCCACTCAGCTCCCTTCAGACTGCAGCCTGGTCTCAGACTCGCCCAACTGACTACCAAATCGGTGCGCAGCCACCCAGAGCGGGATTCATCTTTCCGCTCAAAATCCGGAAAAGGATGGCCGGGCGAAAACTGCCGGGGACCCGGGTTTATGTGAAAAAAAAAAAAAAATCCACAAAAACCTAGAGACCGATTTTCCAGAGACGTCTTGCTGAGCGGCTTCAGGGTGCGGGAGGGTCCAACTTGCTCGGCTTTGAGACCCCCCTTCCGCCCCCTGGGGTGGTCACTCACCGCTCCCCCCTTTCTCTGGCGAGATGGAAAATTCATACACTATCCGGTTCAGCATCCGGGTCCTTACCCTCCTTTCTTTCTTTCCTTTCGGCCCCGCCTTCCAGTCTCTCCTCCACCCCCCCCCACCCCATCCGGGTTCCCCCCAGTCGCCACCACCGCCACTCACAGTTCAACGATGATCTCACGACTTTCACACGGCCGGGCCGGGGGTACCAGCACTGAGCATCAGCCTCCTACTTTTATAGTTCAGATCAAGCCTCCTCGGGTTGGCTACATGAATCCCGGCCACTATTGCTCCACAGAACTCTCCGCCTTCCTCAGCTGCCAGCGACGCCGCATTACTCGGTGCAAGAAAATGCGCCATCCCGCTTATACTGCGCAGGCGTTGTTGCCACCTCCCACTGCTTGGTCGCCCCGCCTCCTTTCCCTCCCTCTCCCTCCCCCTTCCCCGTCCAGCCAATGCAGGCGCGGGGCATTGAGGGTCTTGCAGTTCTCCGGGGCCAGGGCTTGCGCATTGGACCCCCAGGCTGGACTACAGATCCCGGGAAGCTTTGAGGCGTAACTTTCTGTTTCCATAGAACTGGTGGGAAAATGGCGTCGTTGTTTGTATCCCGAGGACCAATGAGCTCAGGGGGTGGGCGGGTCCTGAAGAATTCCATCCAATCCGCGGGCGTCCGAGGGGCCATCCGGGAACGAGGTAGGGGAGGGGAGGAAAAAATCGAGGGGCGGGGAGAGAGACGGGAAGGGGGGGACCGGGGAAGGGGGGGGAAAGCGATGTTTGCCCGTCAGTCGAGTCCGGAGTAAGGAGCTCGGGCGCCGGAGCGGAGGGAGACGCTTGGAGCTTTTGCTCGCCGCCGCCACGGCCGCTGCTTGGATCTCTGCCCGGAGGGAGCCGCAGAGGGTCTGTCGCCGCCGTCCTCTGGAGGGCAGCGCGACTGGGGGCCCGGACCTCCAGTCCGGGAGGGATTTTTCGTGGTCCCCCTCCCCCCAACGAGGGAGCCCGAGCGGCCGCCAAACAAAGGTACCAGTCGCCGCCGCGGGAGGAGGAGGAGCCGGAGCTTCAGCCTCAGCAACCGCTGGACCCGCCGCCCTTCTTCCCCCATCTCTCCCCCTGGCCTGGCTGGTTTTGGGGCGGGGGGGGAGTAGGGGAGAAGGGACTCCGGACGTGCCGGGGTCAGAGCTCGCCTCTGTGGAAGGTAGGGCATTTTCGGAGGCGCTCGCGTTCTCGTGCGGGGTTCCTTGCGGGGTGGGGGAGTCATCGGGCCGCGTCAAGGAGCCGGGGACGATCGCTGTGGCCGTCTCCTTCCGAGTGCCCGAATCCGGGCCTCGGCCTCCGGGGAGCAGCCCCCCCAGTGGGGGGCCCACTCCCCTTCCCGCAGTTTCGGGAGTCCGAGCCGTGCCCCGGCCTGGGGGTCGCGCCCTCGGCGGCTCAGCGGCCCTCGGCGGCGGAGGGGGGGGGCGCCCCGGGCCAGCGCGGGAGGGGAGCGGCCCCTCTCCCCCTCCCCGCCCCCGGCCCGTGGGCCTGTCCCCGGCGCCGGGCTCGACGGGTCGCTGGTGGGGCCCGCTCCCACTTGTCGGGGCCCCGCGGGCGACCGGGACGTGGGCAGCGGCTCCGAGGTGGGTCGTCCTGCTCGGCGCCCCGAGCGAGGCTCCTTCCCCTCCCCCCGTTCCCGCGCCCCTGCGGCCCCCGCCGGGCTCCTCGAGGCCCGGCCCGGCCCTTCGGGTCCCGACGCCCGGGCCGGGGCGCGCAAGGCCTGCGGGGAGGGCGGGCGGCCCCGCGGCCCCGCGCCGGGCCCCGGCTGCTGGGGAGTTTTCTTCGCTGACAGAAATGGCGTCATTGTCGGAGACGACAAACTCCATCGCGTCCCGACAATGGGGACGGGAAGCCGCCGAGCTGTGTAGGTGGCCGGGTTGGCGGGGGATGACGAGACCGGGGTGGGGGGCGGTGGTTCGCGGGAGGTGGGGAGACCCCGAATCGGCCTTCGGTTTGCCCGCGGTGGGGGGCGGTCGCCGCCGTCGCGGTCGTGGTCGGCGCCGGCCTTCGGGGTGCGGGCAGCGCCGGGGGCGCTCCCTCCGCCGCCCCCCGTTCGGGACCGAGAAGCGGGTACCCCGTGGTGTTGACCGGGGGGGTGTCTTTTTGTTTCTTCTCTCAGGTGCAGGTGACGCGGGTGTTCTCGAGGGGAGCCTCGGCCCCGGATCACCATGAAGGTAAGATCGCCCCGGGCAGCCCGACCACCGCGGGCGCGGGATGAAGTAGGAAGTGGAGGGGTGGGTCGGGCGAGCGCCGGAGGAAGGTGTGCTTGGTCGCCGGGTGCCGAGGCCTGCCCCAGGAAACCCCGGGGGTGGGGGGCTGGGGGTGGTGGCCGCCGGCCGGGGGTGGCCGCGGGCCTCGCTCAAGGAGTTGGAGCCAGTTGAAAGATGTCTCGCCGAGGCCCATTTCGCCCGTGTTGAACGTGTCTTTTATTATTTATTTATTTACTTATCTATTTATTTTGAGGGGGGATGCGGGGGGGGGGGAGGTTGCAGGACCGATAGGATAGAAATGCAAGAATTAGAGTGGTTTGGAAGGTAAAACAGAAAAAGGACAAAAAAAAGCAGGTGAAGTCATCCGATTCTAGAAGCCGAACTGTATATTGGGGTGCTCGCGAGGTTACGTTGATGAAGCAGGATCTCATTTATTGTTGTAAACAGGACTTGGGAATTTTAGCGGAATTTGATTTAACCGGGAAAAGAATTTGGAATGGAGAGGTTCTGAAAGAGAATGTTGGTGATCTTGAATGCAACTTCTTCCAGAGCAGTTCTTTTCTTGGGTTTCCAGGGATTTTGGGTTTGGTGATTTGTTTTCCTTTATTGATCCTGTAAATTGTCAGATGCTATTTTGCGTTGTGATGAAACTGAAGTGAAGGGGATTGGCTGGGTTCCTTTCAAATGTAAATATGTCCCCAAAGTGCAATTTGCTTAATTGTTGGGAGAGATTAGAGAAGTAGAAGTCCTCACTTTTTTATTTGAGAGTGAGTGAGTGAATGATGTGGTTTTTTTTTTTTTTGGTCTTTAGAATAAAATGCTTTAGCTATCTGAAATATTCAGATTAAACTAGAGGGCTCATTTATAGGCTAGCAGATAGTTCTTAGAAGTTCTTGAAAAAGGATAATGTGTTTCCTGTAGAAAGCAACAGATAGTACTTTAAAACGTAAATGTCATCTATTTTTGAACGGTTCTTTTAAATCACTATCCCCTTATTCACCCTTTTTCCTATCCTGGCCCCCTTCACCTGTTTCTTTCCTGTGTGTCCCAGCCACCTCTCCACCCTCCCCGTTGGCTCCTGCTGTGGCCCCCTCATTTGCCATTTTTCACCTGTGGCCTCCTTTGACACCCACTCCTTGAGAAACACTTTTAAAGATTATTCGTAAAAGATTTTCTTCACTTTTCTGCATAAAAACAAGTACTGCATTTATATTAAGATATCGTTTATGCTTATGGAAAAAAGTGAAAACTGGCTACTTAAATTTCAGCTATGCCAAGTAATTAAGTTCAGTCTCAATTTTCTTATTTTTCTTTTTGAGTTTGGAGTGCTCTGAACAACTACATGACACAGTTTTTTTTTTTTTGCTGACTTTCTGTCTCACTGTCATGTAAAATGAGAAAATAATCGGTAAGATTCAGAAACTATTCCCTTTTGTTAGTCATTCAGAAGCTATCTGCATTTCATGTAAGTGCTGTAGAACAGCAACAAGTGAATTCGCTAGGAAAAGTGAATTCACCTTATCTTGCTTGGTATTGTATGACAATCTATTAAGAAAAGTTTCAGTTTGAATAATGTAAATATGATCTAAATCTGAATAATACAGCATTTTGTTTGGAATAAATACTTTAATCTCACAACTTTGTATGTAAAGCCTCATACATCTTAGGTTAATGCTTGGTTAAAGGAACTAGTAAATTGAAGGTCTTTCAGATTTAAATGTTCTTTTTTCCATTTTTTCCTTTCATTTACTCCCCCTGCACCCCAGCTTGTCTGAGAAATGAAAGTATATTGGAAACTTTAGTCTTAAAAAAGTTTTGCAGTATTAGGAAAATGTAAATTTCAGGTTATGGTTTTAGAACTGCTGGGTTTATTTATTTATTTATTTTTGCCACAAATTTGGTGGTGCTCAGGGCTTACCTTGACTCAGTGCTCAGGATCACTCCTAGCAGGACTCAGCAACGTATGTGGTGGTGAACCCATGTATAATGCATGCAATGCAAGAGTGCCCTAGCTGCTGTACTATTGCTGTGGCCTGAACAGCTAGTTTTAAGTGCTCAGTATTTCCATTATTACTGCCTTTAAATGAAGATTCTATTAGCATTAAGAGAAAAAGGATTACTATAATGAATTTCTAATTTTACACAAAAACTTACTCCAAAAGCTTAAGTTCTCTTTGGGAATATACTAGTAACATAGTAGTAAGTCCTAGAAGCACAGCCAATTCTTTTTTGGGGGCGGGAGGCCATATCTTGTGGTGCTCAGGGCTTACTCCCGGCTCTGTACTTAGGGATCTCTTAGCAGGGTTTGGGGATCTTACAGAATGTGTGTAACCAGACCTGGGTATGTGGCTTGCAAAGCCAGCACCCTGCCCGCAGTCCTATCTTTCTGACCTCTTTAACATGTTTTGTACATCTTAATATTTTGTGTAGTAAAAGTTGAGAAGTTGTCCATATTTAATATTTTACTTTAACAAAATTGCAATTAGAATTAAGTATTGATTGTATTGAGCCTTTTTGTGTTTCCTTTTTGTGTTCTCTTTTTCTTTAAAAAAATTGAAATTTTTGGGGCTGGAGTGATAGCACAGCAGGAAGGGCGTTTGCCTTGCACGCGGCTGACCCGGCTTCAATTCCCAGCATCCCATATGATCTTCTGGGCACCGCCAGGAGTAATTCCTGAGTGCATGAGCCAGGAGTAACCCCTGTGCATTGCCAGGTGTGACCCAAAAAGCGAAAAAAAAAAAATTGAAATTTTTTTTATTGAACCACCTTGAGATATATACACAGTTACAAAGTTGTTTATAATTGAGTTTCAGTGGTACAATGTTCTAACACCCATCCTTTTACCAGTGTACATTTCCCATCGCCAATGTCCCCATTGTCCCTCCCCACCTCCATGGAAGACACTTTTCTTCTCTCTCTCTCCCTCTCTTCTTCCATCTCCCTTTTCCTCATAGGCACTGTGGTTTGCGATACTGTTGCCACAAGGGTATCATGTATATTACTTTACCTTTTTTCAGTACCCAGTTTTTTTCCAGAGTGATCATTTCCAGTCCTTGTCTATCAGAACTATACTCCCCCACCCACTTTGGCAAGCTTACTACTATGGACCAGTCCTCGTAGCCCTCATTTCTATTGTCTTTGGATATTACT